GCCTGTATTTATATCATAATCGATAATTTTAGTCCGGATATTGTAGATTTCTTAATGTTAAAAAAAATATGAAGCAACGAAGCAAAATATTCAAACACTAACATTATTATACCATAAAAAATATGCTCAAAAATAACGACAGTCGTTTAAAAATTAATTACAGTAGTTGGCAATACAGACCAATGCTACCGTAAACTCGCCCTACATAACATGTTGTTTAACATTTACCGTGAAAAATAAATATTAGACTATAAATCAGCGAAAATCGCCGGTTTACTCCACTGATTTTATAGCTATAATAAAAGAACCGTCAACCGCGGACAGTGTTCTAACAATAAATAGCATAGAACGTGGCCTGCATTCTGAAAACGCTACTCGTAATGTCCGCCCATTGCTATGGCTTCATATTCGACACAATTCGCCTGAAACCATTGCTCCTTTAATCTTATAACAACGTTACACCAGCGTTGTCGTAAACCTGATTTTTCGAATCTAAAACTGCTGATGTTACAGCCGACAGAAACATCATGCATAAAAACTTTTGTGTTTGTGTTATTTCCATAAAAACTACATATCTAAGTTATATTATTATACACTTTTATACACATTTGTTCAATATTCAAACATATATATGAATACTATATTTCTTTTTTGCTGTCATTTAAGTAAACATTGTCATTAATTTAATATATAACAGCTATTGGCAAATAGCCTGTTAGTCGTAAACATTAAAAGTCAAGCTTATTTTTTTAGCGCAAATTATTTGCATTTAAGAAGCTGGAATGTAATTCTTGTCATTTAAAATGCGCATAACATGATTATACTGTTATTGAAATTTAATAATAACAATATTGTCCATCAATATTATAACAAAAGTCATGATATGAAAACATACGAACTATGTTGTGAATGTTTTAGTTGGTATAATTCTCATATTATTTTTTATATTTAAAAAGCCATGTCGTCTTCAGAAAATAAAAAAATTACAACTTGTATCAGCACGAACCGTTTTAAACATTTCATAGGTTTTCAGATCTAGTTTTCGTGAACCGCAAGAAGTATAAAAAAGCCTGAATAATTTGCTACAAGAGAGTTTAGATAGATATAATTAATTACTATTGATGAGGTATCATATAATTTATTTATTTTATATTTTTCTTTAAAACAATTCTAACTCTATTTAATTTGTCACATTAAAATATATTTTTTGAGGTAATTTTAATTTCCTGATGAAAAATTAATCGTGTTTGTGCCTTAAATCTTTTTAATATTATTTAAATATGTCGAATCACTATGTACTAGACTTTACTATTTAAACCTTATGCATAATTCATTTATATATAAAACTTAACTCACCAGTGCTTGACACGAGAGACAGGAAGTGTCTTGTGTTGACTGAAAGTCACTATTCTGTTGAAGTAACACGTTTAAATACGCTTGAGACAACATTTGTCTTAATGGACTAGCAAAATTTGCTTACACTACTGGTCTCATCTTCTAATGATTATGAAAGAATGGTTTAACATTAAGTTTTTTATTCTATTTCGTGAAGTAAGATTAGCAAGTACTATGTATATTTAAATCTGAATCATTAAGAGACATTACTAAAATTGCTAGGCGTTTATTTGGACAGGTTCTGGTTTTTATTAAATATTTAATTTAAATGTTAAATCAGAAAATTTTCAAGAAGTTATCAAAATTTTATATTGATGATTTCGTTTTTATGTCATACTATACACACGTAAGTTCATGGTTCCGTAAAACATTACTTAACATAATCTTGAGTTTTTTGTCCAATTTAAAATACTTTGTTCTATATACTATAAGAAGAATGCAAAAATGTTTATGTAAGGTTGATTCTGTTTCTAAAAGGTCTCGATTTACAAGTAGAGACATTCGTATAAATGAAGCCACGACGGCAAGTCTACACGCAATTTGACCGGACCATGTGTTAACGCATCGCTGCCCCACGTGAGAGAATTCCCGCTGTAGCCTCATTGTTCTACATACTTGTACCCTCACTCGCACTGTCACGACCCGAATTACAGATCACTGTTTCTGTTTTTAAATTTCTTATGTCTTTAATTTTTTTTTGCGTAATACTTTTAAGCATTGCCAGATTTGCAATATTTCTTTGCAGACCTTGAACAGCACGGAGATCTATTATCTGTAGAACATTTAGTTTCCCTGCTTACGTAACCATTCAAACTATTTATCATTTAGAAGACATAATTGCATTCAACATTTTCTGGTATGTGAACTAATATATTTTGCTTATTTCTGCTCCAATTGTCGCCGTCAAGTTTAATTACCCCACCATCATATAATTTCTCCGTCTAGACAACACCTTTGCAACTAGCTGGTTGTAATATTTTCCGAGCATTATTTATTGATAACAGACTAAATGTTATTTAATTTTCCACTCGGAGATTTTAAAATAGAAAGTGAGTTTGAGACCGAGTTTATTTATGAAATGATTCACTTGAATCCCATAATATTTTAGTACTATTAAAGTTATCTCCGTTGAGTTTTATATATCTTATTGTAATATGAAATCAATCTATTTTATAGGTTGCAATCAAATAATGTCATTGCCTTCTTGAGAGGGCGTTTCAGTAAGGTAAAGGCTTGAAGTGAATGCAACTGTGGTTTTTGTAATTCAAGTAATCTGAAAACTTAACTGTGCCACTATATTGTGGTTTTTAGCCGTTTGTGGATCAAAGAAAAAGTATAATTTGAAACTGTAGAATACGCTGATATCATATAAGCACTTGTATTTGCTGAGTTTTATATGTCTATTACAATTAAAGTTTTTAATTTAATTGTACAAAGATTTTGTACAAAGAATTAATGACTAATTCAATTAATGGCTAATTCATTTTGTACAAAGAATTAATGACTAATTCAAATCATTACTAATCCTGAAGAGGAACATTAAAATCAATCTTAATACACACTCTAGAAATGACAGACAGATTCAAGATCACCTGTGTCAATACAACATCTATCCATTATACCTCAGTTTTTGTTTTGAAGTCCTATTTACGAACACAAAGAGGCTGTATTGTTCATAATGTTACAAGTGTTTCAACACCCGTCAACGTCCGCTTTGACATGTTTCTAAAGGTTTTTTAATCATCTACGTTTTTTTTCAACCTTGTATGTAGAACTTGCATGCTACAATATTTTAAATTGATGATACTTCACTTATTAGTAACAAATTATCAATTATTAGTGGAATTATATAAAACTACATAGCTATTTAGCAAAAGAAGTTGAAATTTACTTAAAACCTACTTTTTGTACACATAACCTACATTTTAGGCTGTGTAGTCAATGGAATATTTTTTTATTGGGCTTGACCGGTACCATATGCGAGAAGTTGGTAATTAAATACATAATCCGTCGCTGATCACGAAGTCCCGTGGCTGGTTAGCGGCTTGTTTACTCACTCCACTGACCTTATATGGTGTGAAAGCCCCACAACATTGTGCCCGTCCTCGTCTGACTGAAATGGACTAACGATTGTGATGGATCGGCGGCTCTTTGATTGAGAAAAAGTCACTATATTACAGATATGCGAGTTGAGTCCTATTTTGAGCTTTAAGTATAGGTACTATTACAAGTTTCTAATAAAATTCCTAACAGATTATTGACTTGCGACAAAATAAAAAATATATATTTTAATTCGATACTTTCTTTCGTTATCTATTTGCTTATTAATGGTTTATAATGTGCTGTCGCAAAAGTAGTCTGTGTTAACTGCGGCAGAAGTCAATAGTAATTTGGAGTTTTATATTGAAAGTTTCATAGGCCACCTCCAAATACAAACTATTTTAGTGGATGATTCTATACAAATGAAAAAATCCAGTAACGTTAAAATGAACTGCATATAAATAATTTATATACAACATAAGAGACACCATCTTAGCAACGTGATTGAAATATATACGTACCATTAGTAAAACCTGCATATACATAAGGTTCCGACATACTTTTTATGCAAGCGGTGTTGCAAAAACATATGGTCGTACAATTGTGTAGGTACTCCGGATATTACCCAATGACTCATCAGCTCGTTATGGGGATAAGGAAGATGTTTATGAGACCGTTTTCAAAAAAAAATAATAATATGACTAATTAAAAAACTCTTGGCTATGACATCAATGAAAGAAGATACTTCTACCGTGTAATGTTAAGTAAAAAATGTTAATCGCGCTACAAATGTCAGAATTGAAAAGAAACATATGTATGTATATTATGTATGTTACGAGTAAAAAGCTTTAATTTTGGAATTTGTATGTTGATAAATAAAAAACAATTTGTAACTAAAAATCACTCAAGTAAAAATAAAATTTTTGATTATTTCCTTGTACAGAAAATAAGAAAAGACTTTGTTTTTGTCTTTATTTATTTCACATTTACAATGCATAAGAAAGGAATGAATGAAACAAAATGAACAACGTTATAAATGAAAAAGTTAAATAATTCCATTAATAAAATGGCAGGCCTCAAATAGGTTACGCGCAATCAAGCCTGAATAGTGAATATCTCTATGTACACAAATAGACAAATATAAATAAATAAAATCTTTAAGCACCAATGGGTAAATGTTATAAACACTTATGACATCAGAACTTTAAAAGCCGCTGTACCTATTAATCGCTGCTTCAGATCCATCAATAATGATATATTTGTTGTATGATGTCATTCCGACATGTGTTTAAATAAAATTTATTGTAGATTCAAGTAAAGAAGTAGTCAAAAAGCATGACTTCGATTTCCATACTATCTAAACTTAAGATGTAAATAATCTGTACGTAATGTTTTCTGGAAACTTCTGAAATAAACTGTCGTAAACGTAAATTTTCGACGGCACATTAACTTTTATATCTTCTAGTAAACGTATGGGCGGTTCTAAAATTATAGCTAATATGACATGTCCAAAATTTAAAATTTACAAGCAGACACGGTCTATAATTTTGTTTATTTATTTTCAGAAATAGCAAAAGTGCGAGCGAGTTTATTCCAAATAAATGGAGTCAAGAAAGAACCACTAGTTCTGCCAGAACCCGATGGCATGGTCACCACACTCACAGAAAAAGTATATGTTCCAGTAAAAGAGCATCCAGATGTAAGTAATATTTTATATTCCTTCCCTTTCTGTACGCATTATATAATAACTGAAATATCATTGGTCACAGTACAAAGAAAGTATATGAATAATATTATAACAACTGCTAAGACGTTGAGTAAGAAAATAATGTTACAACCCGGAAGAAATATAAAAGTTATGACTATCATCAAGTAATACATAACGGTCTGTAACGAAAGAGTCAACGTTGTGTAGACATCAAACAATTTAACACAAATAACAAATTAATATGAAGAAAAAGAATATAATTTTCGACATCCATCCGTCATAGCCAGTCCAAATATAGTTACCATAGATTAATACGACATTATCCGTATTTTTTTTCAAGAAGGGTTTGATTTGATTACTCTAAAGGTTGAGATAAATGTTGCAGGTTGTACTTTTATTGCAACGGCTGATCGAGTGTACCAATGTTAGTCATATAAATAGAAAGACAAGGCTGGCAGCTTGCTACATTTGGTGACTTATGTCATGGCGATCTCGTGTTTCAACGGGCTCCTTCGAATGTAGCCGCGATGTGAATGATAACGTCCATTCATTCTGTAAACAGACGAATATGCAAAAGAAATATTTTTCTAGTCGAACTCCAGTTCATTGAACTAGATTCGCTAATTATATATTTCGGTCGATACGCTCACGTCAAACACTGTACGGTTGAATATCTTTTAGATTGTAAAATTTTATTAAATGTGTTCTACAGGAACATAAAGTATCAGATTTTCCACCCAAAGCAACCGAAATCGTTTTGAAGTTTGCTCTATTAGGATACTAAGTCATTGATCTTACCATAATTTGTAATAGGAAAATTTCTTCTTAACATAATTAATGCATTACATTACTTTGATTTCATATTTATTTTAATAGTGAGCCTGGTATTTGAACTGAAGCTATTCTTTGTTAATAAAATATGTACTTATTTAATTATAGACAGCGATAGTCGTCTAAGAAAAAACATTAATAACATACTGGCTGGCGTCTTAAAAGGTTATTCCAATTTAAAATGAATCGAGTTAGAGCAAGTAACAAGCAATGGATGCTTTCAATAAATGATAGTTGCTACTAAAGATTGCAAGTTTGTACTGCTAGCGTTCTTGTTAGCGATGGATAGGCGCCAACCGCCTTCATTGCTTCCTTATACGTTGGTGCATGTTTTAAACATTTATAGGAAAAAATCAATCAAACCTTATATATACGTGACATAGAAAACATTATACTTATATGCAATTATTATAATTTATTGATAAGACATGCATCAAGCCTTAGACATTTTCTTTAGTTACCGTAATTGTACTTAACACAGAATTATTTAAATCGTCGTGGTTATTCAACAATGTGTTCATAAATCTTAAGATAAATCGATTGTTGGATGATATTGATTGCAGATCAAAAGGTCCGTCTCACTACAAATATGTACCTAACTAATAACAAAATTCCCGTCTAGCTGTGTAGTTGTTCTGTTCTTAGAATCATGATCTAGAAACTATTATATGCAGTTTGTAGAAATAAATTTATCGAAACAACACTTTGCATACTTATTATAGACACATTGCTGTAAAATGTCTCATAATATAAATTAACTATAACATTAAAATTTAAACAATTGAAATTTAGATAAATTTATATTGTTAAAAGTATTATGAATATACTATAATTTTATTGTTACATACTCACTTGCTTTTATTGTTTCTAATAACTGATTCTGAACCGAACGTTAACTGAAATAGAAATAGAATTGGCAGTGTAATTTGTATGTCGAACACATTGTCGATATTATAATGGTTTAAAGCCTCGTATGCTGGAGTTGAGCGTGACGAAAGAAACTAAATATTTTTCACTAGTTTAACATTTTCTTTGAATGATTGACCTTGTAATAAAGGTATTTCTAGTTTCTACCACCACTATATTTCAAGTAGCTGCACTATGTCTAAATGATAATATTATTGGTACATATAAAAGGCGTAAGTTGTAAGTAATATCTGTTTATTTTGGTATATTTAATTTTAGTATAAGCTTAATGTTTACAAATTAATGCAAAGCTTATATTAAAATATATATATATATAATTTCGTATTTCTATGCACCTATAATATCAACTTATAATTTTCCAAAAAATATACAAAATATTAATAAAAATGTATGAATAAATTAATCATAAAGTAAGAAATGATATTTATAATTTGTATATTTTTTATCTTAAACAAATTTTGGCAATGAATAATTATTAAAAAAATCATACACTTAAAATATTAGCTTTTCCATAAAATATTTGAATATGATCGATACTTGTGTATGATTGCATCGAAAACAGGCTCAATCATTGTAAGTATATCAACTAGATGAGAGTTGCAATAGCGAACTTGTCTCACTGGTTTCTCTGGTTAGCGTTGTTCGTTTGAATCGTGCAACTGGTAATAAGTGATATATAAAGAGCAATTATTATTTATTACTATCATATTTATTACAATAACAGCTCTAAACAAAAAATGAAGTATAAATCTAAATCGGAATCTTATCTTTGTGGCTAAAAATTAAATTTTTTAATCCAATATTATATTTGTTGTTCTACTGGTATTCTTAAATATTAACCAAAATTTACAAACTCAAATTAATGTGTAGTACAAAAATATGTTACACGTTTTGATCTTGCTTTTTTATTTAGACAATTGAACGATGATTTGCAAATTATTCAGATATATCTGATAGTTATAAACCTGATTTAAACATCAGAGATCTGTCTAACTATCTAAGACGTACATTGCATATCCATTTAGGGCTACCCGTTATTACGTACTGCCTTATTCGAAAAGACCGCTGCTTATATTTTTTATACACTACAGTTTCTAACTACACCTAAGTCGGTAAAAAATTTATTTAAATCTTTTGAATGTTTCCTATTTTGTTGTATAATTAAGCGTTTAAATGTTCAATTCCACCGTTATAAGTAGATAACATTAAAAATATATTAAGATAACTACTCACAGACATGTTTTTGAGAACAAGCTCATTTTAAATAAGACTAAGACATAGACATAATTAAATTCTAAATCTTAAAATAAAATTAGTTGAAGAAAGTTGCCACATGGCTTGTGTTTAAAAAAAGATATCCGCGGCAGTGATGTCAAGTTAAAAAAAATCGAATCGTTAAAATAAGGAAGACGCACGATATATTTATAGAATTATCACATTACATTTAGGTCAAGCTTGCACAGTCTTAAAACTTTCAACCGAACTTAGCTGAATTATCTAAGATTTGTAAATAATCCTACTATACAAAAAATAATCGAAACTATTCAAACTAATTACAATACGTTACTGTAAAGCATGCAGCGTGTGCTTTATCACTCGTAAGCAAACGTTAGCAAAATTGTTCTAAAGATAAAACGGTTCAGACCGAGAAGGGAATTTAGACTCAAGCTATAAATAATATCGGATTATGTTGAATGGCTTAACTAAATATTATTCGATATTTCATTGAAAATCATTTCGAATTCGACATGGATATCTTCATTCTAATTTAAATTCCAGGCGACACTGGTATTTCATAATAATACACTTTGATGCATATAACGACCATGAGATTTAAATTTTATACTCACAATTCTGTATGACACAGAAGACATTCTAATGCACGAATTTCAATTTGCAAATTCAGTCCACTAGCTGCACGGGAAATTGATGTTTATCCTTCATTAATTAATTCGAAAAATATATTTTATTAGCTTCCACGGCCTGGTGGATATTAAAATATTAACTAGCGTAATAAACCAGCGCTGCCGCTTATTTCCGTTCTATTTATCACATGATTCGTGAACTGCTAGACTAAATGGCAAACTGTGATTCATATTAATCTATGTATATTCATGGCATTTTACTGAATTCCACGATTGAAATAAGTTTTATTACATCTTCTGCTTACGTACATTTAAAATTCTTAAACGTGATAAAATTGAGCATGTTTCTGTTTTGATGGCTGTGATTATTTTTTATTCGTCCAGCTGTCACACTTCTGTTACTCGTTTATTACAGAAATATAGAACATTCCGTATGTTTCGTGATTATGAATAATTAAAATTATATTAAGATAACATTCAAAGCTATCAGATCTTTAATGTAAAAAAATATCAAAATGTCATTTTAATTTCGTATGTAAAAAGTTAACTCTTAACTATTTAGAGTAATTATTTTATGTTGAAGGTCTGTTGTCATTATCCAATTAAACAAATAGTTGCAACGCCATTCGCCTCTTATTAAATATTTGACCACCCAGAAGCCGATAAGCGATAATGATCCCTTTTATATTTATTTACATTCTATGTTTATCACCTGCATATTTGCTTTGATAAGCGACGCCTTCTGAACTGCAGTGTAGATCGCATTAGACAAGACCTTGTTTAAAGGATAACAAGGAATAAGCGGATGATTAATGAGTGTATAATAATTTTGTTTTGTTTTTTTCTATTGCATTTAACTTAAAGGTAACATTTTAATTTGGAATTAATTAAATCCTTAAAAGATAAATGATTTCGAGCCGATCATCTGTAATTAGAAATAACAATGTTGCTTTAACTATTTATAGTTATAACGGAATAGCAACTAACAAGCCATAACAAATCGTCTTAAACTTAGCCTGACTTTCTTTTTATCAGGAAATGAAATAATTTATTAAAGTGTTACATACCTCAGCTAAGGAATAGGTTAAGAAGTTATACATCACGCTGATATGAATGTTAATCTTGATAAATGAAACGATATTACTTAACATAAGTTTTATTTAAACCCATAAGAATCAGTTAATCAATAACTGATATTTAAATCATTATCCAGAAAATCTTCCATGTTTTTTTTATAATAAGAGATAACGTAAATTTCTTTTGGATGAAATAGTTCAATATTTATTTCGTAGTCATGATTATAAAAGGTTTAACTTCTGATGTACTAGTCTTTATGTCATATTGTACTCAGATTGTGTAGATTGGCGG